GGCCACTGCACTCCAGTCTGGGCGACAGAGTGAGACTCCAACTCAAAAAAAAAACAAAAGTGATGAAAATGCTCTAAAATTAGACAGCAGTAATGGTTACACAAGTTTTGAATATTCTAAAAACCACTGAATTGTACTTTTTAAAGGGGCAAGTTTTTATGGTATGTCTATTACTTTTCTTTCTTTTTTTTTCTTTTTGAGTTGGAGTCTCACTCCATCACCCAGACTGGAGTGCAGCGGCCGCTCCTGGCCACTGAAGCCTCGACCTGCTGGGCTCCAGAGAGCCTTCTGCCTTAGCCTTCCAAGTAGCTGGAACTTGTGCTATCACGCCCAGCTAATTTTTGATTTATTGTAGAGATGGGGTCTTGCCAAGTTGCCCAGGTGGGTCATGAACCTGCGGGCTCAGGTAATCCACTCACCTTAGCCTCCCAAAGCACGGGATTACAGGCTGAGCCACCGAGCCCGGCTTACATTTCTTTTTTAAAACAGCTTTATTAGGATACAGTTCATCACCACTACAACTGACCCATTTAAAGGGAACAATAGGCCAGGCATGGTGGCTCGGCCTGTAATCCCAGCACTTTGGGAGGCCGAGGTGAGAGGATTGCCTGAGTCCAGTGGTTCGAGATCAGCCTGGGCAACTTGACGAGACCTTGTTTCTACAATAAATCAAGAAAAATTAGCTGGGCGTGGTGTTCCAGCTACTTGGAAGGTTGAGGCAGAAGGATCACTGAGCCCAGCAGGTTGAGGCTGCAATGGCCATGAGCGTGCCACTGCATGCCAGCCTGGCCGACAGAGTGAGACTCCAACTCAAAAAAAATAAAATAAAGTGTACAATATTCACAAATATGCGCAACTATTTCCACAGTCAATTTTAAAACATTTTCACCACCTTAAAAAGAAACCCTGTACTTTTTAGCTATTTCTCCTTCTCCCTCCAGCCCTCTCCAGCTCTAAAAAATTACTAATCTATTTTCTACCTGTACAGATTTCCCTATTCTAGATATTTCATATGAATGTAATTGTGTAATGTGTGGACTTCTTTCACTTAGCATAACATTTTCACAAAGTTCATCCATGTTGTAGGATTACAGATTCCTTTCATGGCCTAATGATATTCCACTGTATGGCTACATGTACACTTTTTTGTCTGCATTCATTGACTGATGGGTATCTGGGTTGCGCATACTTTTTGGCTACTATGAATACTGCTGGTATAAACATTCATGTAGAAGTTTTTGTGTGAGCATATATGTTGCCTTCTCTTGGATAGGAGTAGAACTGCCAGGTCATATTGAAACTCTATGTTTAACTGATGAACTGCCAATCCTGTTTTCCAAAGTGGCTGCACCATTTCATATTCCCACTAGCAGTGTTGGAGACTTCAGATTTCTCACTGTCCTCACCAACACTTGTTATTATCTGAGTTTTTGATTCTACCTATCCTAGTGGGTGTGAAGTGGCTATGTTTCCGATTTTAAAAAGGAGCAGAAGACTCCCATGGAGCTTGAAACTCTGATATCCTGCCAAGTGTTTCCATGATGTTTTGAGGAGAAGCCTGAGCTAAAACATGGGGGTGGGGTGAGAGATGTGAAATAAACCACTGCAATCCAGGGCATGTCCCGGCCCCAGGCTGGAGGCTGCCTGCCGCATGTCAGAAGTCCTGCCTGGCTCATTCAAAGGGAAAGACTCTCCTATGGCAGGAAAGAGGAAGGAAACAGCAGGGCTTAATTTTAAGGAGCTCTGTAAACAATGTAATGGTCAAGGGCTCGATGAACAGTGGGCTAACAGCCATTTTGGGCTGAGGGAATGGAGCCATGCCCAGCGTTACATTCCACTCAGAAGGCTCCATAAGACTGGTCAGTAAGAAAAGCTCAGTCTGGAGGGCTGCTACCATGTTCACCGCGCGTTGAAGCCTCCTCCCTGGTCTGGATCAGGAGGAAATTCAGTAGGCCTGCTCTCAGAAGGCATGGGTGTGGGGTGGATGCACGGAAGGAAGGCACTCATATCTTGGCCTCTAGTAGACACACTGGGTATTGTGATGGCCAAAAAGTGGCCCACAGGAGTCCCCACGCCACCAAGTGAACTCTTAGTTAGGATTCCGGCAGCAGGGATCCCAAGGCTCAGGGGAGACTGGGGAGGACAAGAGGAAGGGGGGACTCGCATCTGCCCAGCAGTTCCAGTCAAGCCCAGGAATCACACCCTCACTCCCACTTAGAACAAAGACCAGGAACAGCTCCAGATTCATCTCAGTCTTGAACCACATCTTCCTGTGAGACTGTGTCATTCCTGTTTGAGTGAGTGCGTGCGTGAGCGTGTGTGTGTGTGTGTGTGTGTGTGTGTGTGTGGTTTCAGCTGTCCAGCATTTTCAGTGCTCTTTGCAACCCAACTTGGATCCCGCCCCCCCAGTCAAAAAGGTGGCAAGAGCTATGTTCCAACAATTAGAAGGCAAAAAGAACGTAAAGCTGCAAGTGCAGATTTCAGCGGTTTGGAGAAACAGCAAGAGTACAAGTCAACATCAAGGAATTATTTTTACTACAGCAACTGTTCTCTTGAGGCTCATTCTTCCTGTGTTTAACCTTTCATTCTTGGGGTTGGAAAGAAATACACATTAAAACCCTAGCCTCATATGCTGAGAAAATTCACGGCTAAACCCGGGTACCAGAGCCCTTTTGAAACAAAAGAACTATCTTCCTGTAACTGATTATTCTGATTTGTAACTGAACCAACTCATGCTCCCTTCTGATTAAATGCATGTACTCAAAGAACCACATAATGAGGCAACTGTTCAGTAAATACTGTATGTGGTTTCAGTGGGAAATAAATTGCATCCAGCAGCTGTATAACCATGGGTAACCATGGGTTGGGGTTTACTCTGATAACAGGAATTACTCCCATAATGAAGAGTTCCTCTGGGCCTCCTGGCCCTTCATAAAAATACCCAAGAAAATCACAAAGACAGTCTTACCACATACAAAACTCTCTGGTGGCACAGAGAAGATGCTCTGGCCCTTCAGCGACTCTGGGTGAGCACAGGCGGCTGTCACGAAGGCCTGCAGTGTCCTGCTCACTAGCCACGGGGGCAGCCACTTCAGCTGGCAGTCACACAAGAAGCTATCACTGCTGATACGGCTGCAAGAGAAACAACAGCACGAGCTTGAGTGTGGCCACAAAGGAGGGAGACGCTCTTCACCCACAGCACAAGCAGCCACCTCCAGCCTGCTTGATGTGACCACCAGCTAGCTGGATCTCAGTGCACACAACCCACCTGGAGAAACTGATAAAACACCGTTGCTGACTGGGCTGGTCACAAGTGGATGTAAGAGGGAAAAAAGAAGGGAATGTAAGGGGAGAACAAAGAAGCGACTTCGACCTTGGAGCAGGCTTCACAGACTTCACGCCCTTCCTGAAAACTGTTTTGAAAAGGTTGCAAAATTAATAACACCCTTTTCCACTGCACCTGCATAACTGGCTATATATCTGCTTCGATAAAATTGCTTGCTTTCCCACGCCAGCAGAATAATGAGATAAGAGCCCCGGAACATCCCAAGTTCTATCTTTAACCCACTAGAATGTAAATCTAAACTACTTAAGGCAGCCCTGTGTTGCAGCTGGCCGCCCTTGCTTTGGAATTCATCATCCAGCAAGTGGCCACCGACCATGGCCGAATCTGGCTAATAAACCCCTCCTGTGTTACTTATAACTTTGTGTCGGTGTCTGTGATTTAAGCTCTCAGACCCTACTTCATTTGGGGGCTCGTCCGGGAGAACCGAGCGGCGAAATTACACCCGTTTTAACTGACGGGCCTTGTGGGGCTGCATCCCTGCAAACTCTCTGGGTTCAATTGGGCCTGTATCTCTGGCAGACTCACAACGCCCCTGGAAGCCCTCAGAGAGTCAGGTTCCTGATTTCTGTTTTGAGTGCACTCCTATAGGGACCCTCAGGAAAGCTGGAGGCAGCGCTAATTCTGGTGTCCGAGGTCCCAGTGAGATGTCACCGGGATCTCCTGTTTTGCCTTTGGGCAGTCAAGTCTCTTTGTTCAGTCCTTGTCCTTGTCTTTTCGTATTTGGTGTTTGTCACTGTTGTATCTGTCATAACTGTCAATATCATGGGACAACAATGTTCTCAGCCTGACACCCCTCTGCAGCTGGTCTTGTGTCACTTCAAGGATTTGAAGAAAGCAGCACAAGACTTGGGGGACTAGGTAAACAAGGGTAAACTAACCACCTTTTGCTCTCTCGAATGGCCCACATTTCCTGACTGCAGCTGGCCATCAGAGGGGACTTTCAATCCCCCTGTGGTGGAGCAAGTCCGTCAGTTCGTCTGTCACTATCATCTGAACCAGATCCCGTACATTACAGTCTGGTACCTCCTGGTAATGCAACAACCGTCATGGATGAGGAAGGCCCAGAGAAATAATAACCTTTCTCACATTTTATCTCTACAGGAAACCCCTAAAGCCAAACCCCCAGTCCTCTAGAGTCCTCCAGAGGACGGCAACATTCCCCCGCCATACCCTGTGCCCGGACGGAAACAAGGGGCTCAGGAGGCTCTCAGCCCATCACACACTAGGAGCGGGTCCCCCTATCAGCCCATCTATTCCCCGTTTCCCCCTCAATCCTCAGGAGAGCCGACGGGTTCCCCTCAACCAACAAGCCCGGATTCATCCTCAGAAAAACTGGAGATGCAGATGCTGGCAGTTCTCCCTTTAAGACAGGCCCCAGGGGTTGATATGGGGAGGACGGGAGCACCGCCTTTTATGGTATATGTCCCTTTCTCCACTAGTGATCTCTACAATTGGAAAAACCAACACCTGCCATTCTCTGAAAGACCCCACGGTCCTATATCACTCTTAGAAACTATTTCCTATACCCACCAGCCCACATGGGATGATTGCCAACAGCTTCTCCAAGCTCTCTTCACCGTGGAAGAGAGGGAGAGAATCCGCCAGGAAGCAAGGAAGCTGGTACTGGGAGCAGATGGCAGGCCTGCGGAGCAGTCCCGTGTGGAGCATGTCTTCCCCACTGAGAGACCTAACTGGGACCCCAACACTGACCGTGGTAGGGAGAGTCTCACCACCTATCGCCAGACTCTAATGGGGGGTTCTCTGGGCCACCGCGAGGCACCCAACAAACTTATCCAAGGTAATGCAATAAGAGACCCGGAACATCCCAAGTTCTATCTTTAGCCCACTAGAATGTAAATCTAAACTACTTAAGGCAGCACTGTGTTACAGCTGGCCACCCTTGCTTTGGGATTCATTATCCAGCAAGTGGCCACTGGCCATGGCCGAATTTGGCTAATAAACTTCTCTTTTGTTACTTATAACTTTGTGTCGGTGTCTGTGATTTAAGCTCTCAGACCCTACTTCAGTGGAACCCAACATTCTCCATGTCTCCGCAGCCAGATGATGGTGGCACTGTAGGCTGGAGGACCACACCTGGAGTAGCAGCAACCCTGAGCTTGCCTGTGTTCTGAGATAGACACTGCTCCTATGTGACCCTGGACACGCCTCTGACCTCTCCTGGTCTCTGGTTTATCCAACTGTGGCAAGCTACTGTCTCCTTTCTTGTTTTTACCACTTTCCTGATAAGCTACTTAGAGTTTCCAGACTCAACCTGAGACTTGGATCTCAATTCTACAGCAAGCTCCAAGAAGCGCTCTTTTTCTCAATGGCTGCTATGTTTTGATATGGTAAGGCTGCACATTTCCTTCCTTCCTTCCTTCCAGCATAAGCCTCGTGGCATGCTTCCCTCTCCGTACAGTTATCTCTGCACTGGCATTACTCAGGAGGCCAGCAGCATTCGGCTCTGCTCCCTAAATAGTGCATGTTAGTTAATTGCTACTGCCCAGGGAGCATGAGAATGCACAGCTTTGGTTTTGTGAGGCTCCAACCAAAACAGAGAATATTTTCTTTTTCATTTCTCAGCAACTGAGGATAAGCTTTTTAAACAGAAATCAGAATCACCATCTCAGTGGACATTCCTTCCTGAGGAGTCACTTGAAGATAAGTCAACCAGCGAGTCTAGCTGCCCTGATCCTGGAAGACTTCAAGGCTGTGATGGCCGGCTCATGACAAGGAAAATGACCGGGAAAGAGAACACACAGGCTTCCCTATGACATACTGTCTCTGGTCTCAGTGGCAAACAAGGGGCACAAGTATGCTCAAAAATTCCAAAAACATCACGTGGGCCCACAGCCTCCTTCTCCACCCACCACTGTCCTCAGATGTCGCCAAAAGGATGGAATTGTTTTCTTCTATTTCACACTGGCATTCTAATGAGCAGAGAAACTGTCAAGCTAGTGAACAGCAAGGAAGAATGAAATTTGAGCCAGATAACCCAAGGCTAATTAAGTAAAATCAACTCTTCCACCTGTTCATTGTTTCCAGATGAGTTGGGCATCTTATTAAAATAATTTTGGAAAGTGCTTTTCCAAAGACTGAAATAACTTATTTCGAAGCCATTATGACTGGGATGCTGGCCCATACTAGACCTTAAAATCAGCATGAGAGCTTGTATTTTTATTTGATGGGAAGGTGGTGTTCTACTGGGAGCCATCTGGAGGACAGTCCAGTTGAGTGTGTACTGCAGGTGGTGGAAGGGCCATGACAGCTGACCATGAGAAAATGGCCAGTTCTCACGCTGCATGCAGCAAGGAGCCTCCCGCAAGTACACTGTGTGGTAGTTGAGGAGGTTGTGCCAGGCACCAGGGAACTCTGCCTGGGTGGAGAACAGAGGAACTCTCACGCTGTCAGAGGCACCTCCAGCTCACAGCAGGAGGGCATTTCTGCGCAGTTGGGAAGGCCAGCCTGGACCCTGTCTGTGAAGGCCTAGAGGAGATGCAGGGCTGTCGCTGAGATGTTAGGCTCTCATGTGGGTGGTATATTTATTTATGCCAGAGGGACAAATGGGGGAAAACACATTTGACACTGATCCTTGCTCAGATACGTGTGTGAACAGGCTTAAGCCTCACGCCACACAGCCGTGGGTTTGTGGGGTTCCTACCTCCTCCACAGTGAAAATCAACTCAGGGAGGAGACCAGACCTAGAAAGACAGTGGGTACTCAGGTGGGGAGAGGGTGTTCTAAAGGAGTTAGGCCCAAAAACACAGGTGGAGAGGGACTGGAACGTGACAGCAGTGAGAACACTGACCCCCAGGCTCTGCAGTGAGCCCAACAGCAGCAAGGACCACAACCCTACAGACTCTGCAGACTCCTGCCTCCCTCCTTCACCAGGGAAAAGCATGGACTCGCCGGCCACCAGCAAGCACAGCCTTCTGCAGGTCCCCGGCTGCCATCCCAGTGCTTCCCTGGCTCACATGGTGAGTTTTCATGATTCCAACCCAAAGTGTGTTTCTAATCATCACTTGTGGAAATTTACCCAGAGGATGATGACTAAGTGCACAGTACGACCTGCCTTGATCTGATGGGGGAAGAAAATGACCAAGAGGAATTAACCGTTTGTCCTATCAGAGGACTTGGCCTGGGGCCAGCCCCCGCTGGGTACATTCAGTGATGATGGGAAACCCAGGCAAGAGACCAAGGCCGGGCCTGCAGAGCCATGCAGGAGCACGTTGGAGGCTATGCTTCGGGAGTGTCCAGTTCTTCCAACTAGAACGTGGTTTCATGAAGGGCCAAAGGAAAATCTTTTCCTTTTTCTCTCAAAATACCCTCTTTCCATTTCGTCAGAACTTTTCCACTCCCAACATCGTATTTGAAAGTTTCAAAAACAGACAATTTGAAAGGAACTGCACAGGGAATACCCCACGCCCACCACTGTCTTTTACAACTGACCTTATACTCCAATCACTCTATCACCTGCCTATCCACATCCAGCCCTTCACAGTGGTCTGGTATCTTTCCTCCCTGCCCTGGAAGGAGAGCCATGGAATCCTTTCTTCATATTATGTCTTATCAGATAGACAAAAGCAGAACTGCTGAGTCTGGAAATGGGAAGGTGCCCGGCACGGAGCTGCTGTTTGCAGAGCCCCAAGGCTCACAGAGTCTGTCACAATCTCCTGTGCTACGATCTGGTCCTTCTGCAGAAGAGCATCTATACTCGGCAGGCTTGAGTCTCACATGTCATAGGGCAAGTGCCCGGACCACCTCCCCTCACTCAGGAATGTCGCTGGCCTGCTTTGGTTCTCTGTCACAAGGACTGCACCTCACCTCTCCATTCTCACCCTCCCTGTCCCAATCTAGGGTCCACTAGAAGAAGCTTCAGGAATGGGGAGAAGGTCAAGGAACAAAGATGACTGTCCTTTGGCATCTGCCATTTTGTCAGCACTTCTAAGAACCAAAAGTTACACCTTTATGGAACAGCTCTAAACTTAGAATCAATTTCATCACCAAGAGACACGGTGAACAAAGTCCTTGGTGGCAGCACCTCCTGTGGACTGCTCCCAGAGGTCTGGAGATAGTATGGACCGGGCATCACCACCCCTCCGAGCATCCCATCCAGGCCTCTGGGAGCAGTCCACAGGAGGTGCTGTCCACCAAGCTCTTTAGAGAAGCTCCTCTCAGTATCGGTCTTCAGTTTAAACAAACCCACAAGATACAAACTTGTCCTTGACATAATTAAAGATGCTATTATCACTTTACAGAGAAGAGTTTATTTCCCATTACCCAGAATAGTGGTTAGCCACCTATAGCCTGTAGGCCCTGTGCCTGTTTTTGTCAATACAAATGAATGAGCATACAGCCACACCCACTGGTTGTTGTCTGATTTATGGCTGCTTTCTGCACAGTGACACAGTTGAGTAGTCATGACAGAGACCCTGTGGCCCACTAAGTCCAAAATATTTACTATGTGGCCCTTTAAGAAGTGAGTAAAATACAATCCCAGGAGTTTCTTACTCTGCAAGTCTCCACTCATGTTCATCAGAGCCACAGAATCCAGGTACTTACAGCTCTTTAAGATTCTTCATCTTCACAAAGGCATCAAACTGGACAGACCTGATTGCATTCTCTCCAAGGTTCCTGAAACAGAGCATACTTTTTATGCAAAGAAACTCCACTTAGAGATTTTCAGGACAGCCCTGGCTTCACAGATGACTCACAGGTACCAGCCAGACCTGTGTCCTAGGTCTTCTGCAAGTGGCTGTCATTTTACATACTGACACAGTCCATGGCATGACCTTAAAGCGCAGCATCGATGCTAGGCTGAGGCCTGCTCAACAAGTCAACAGGCAAAGCCTTTCCTCCACAGAATCAAGGTCAAACTTGATTAAAAGAGGAAATGAACTAAGAATCATGCACTAGAGGCATCTGCCCCAGATGGCAACAACATGAACGTCACAGGGCTGGCTCCATCCCTCTTTTCCCAGGGTCTCAGGAGCAGCCCAGTAAAAAAGCTCCCAAGTAAGCACAACATGTATTCAGCATCATTAAGCTGCCTCAGTGGTGGTGGCAGGCTTGGCCAGGATAAAGCATCCTGGTGAAAGTGGCAGTAAGACCCAGGCCGAGAGAGAGTCAGCACAGTGAGGCCAGAGGAGGGAGGGTATTTATCCAAATACCAACTGTATTAATTGGGAGCACACCAACCGGCCTTATGTTCTGTGGCTGTTCCTGGCATGGGCAAAATAAAGGCCAAAGTTGAAGCTGGCTTATAATGAGAAGGAAGCAGCTGGTGTTTCCAAATAGCCTGTTTCTCAGTTTACAAAGATGCAATTAAATTGCAAGCAGACTTCCCCTGCAGCAGTGCTTGGCAGGCCTGTGCGTCAGGCAGGGTCTGGCAAGATACTCACAGGTGCTCCAAACCATCCAGTCCCGAAAATGCTCTCTTAGCCACGGACTTGATCTTGTTTCCAAACAGAGTCCTGCAGTTTCCAAACACCCAGAAATGGTGGGAAGGGAATCGGGAAAGGGGGTGGGGAAGAGAGACAGACGAGAGGGTTGGGAGAAAGAACACACAATTAAAGTAGTGCCACTTGATAAGTCTGTCCAGTGAGGGGCAGGTGGAAAGCTGACCTGTGCTGTGATTTTGGGACTCAGGTACACAGGCCTTCCCTTTTTGAAATGAAATACTTTTATTTTTATTAGAATTCAATAGTGATGACAGGCTGGAATTGCATGCACCGTCTGTCCTAAAAAGGCTCCTTGCAGTGTCAAGTAGAAATCACCTTGTCCAGCCCAGGCTGTCTCTCTTCCAGGACCACCCAAGGGTGGGTGGGTGGGAGAATGGTGAATCTTACTGATGGCCCTACAGGAGGGATGGTGCTGGTTACTATTTCAGTGAGAGGAAGCAGAGTCAAAGAAGGCAAGGAAAACTATGGAACTGAAAAACTGCCGCCCACTTCTGAGAACTGCACTGTGGGAATAAAGGCTCCCAGAGAGACAGGAAGAGGACAGGAAGATGGGTGTCAATCAGGAAGGCTCCATAGCTCTTTGGTACCTGGATGCCTTGGCAGCCTGCATGTAGCTCTGGGGAGTTGTGTCCTTGCCTAAAGCAAATGACCCTCCAGGGCCCGCAAAAGATGTCCCAGGGCTCTGGCCTCTTGGCCAGACTCCAGGTTTCATATGATGGTTCATAAATCACATATATCAGATTCTCAAAGGGCAGGGTCTAAGGTTAACTAATGCCTGTCCCCCTGGACTGCGTACCGATAAGAAGGGGCCCCTGCTTCTAGGTAATTCCAAGCCCAGCCTGATCAGTGACTGTTAACTGAAACCTAAGTCTGCCCCCCTGTAACACACATGAAAGAAATGAGTACCTCTTCTACGGGCCTGTATAATCCAAGGGGAAGTTTGTCTCTGAAGCCCCTGGAGTATGCTGGGTATAATGAAGAGAATCCAGTTTTTCCCTCCTTGTTATCAGGTTCTCTGATGAGAACCCACCAAAGGCATTCCCCTAATCCACTGGCATAGGAGACTGTCTACCAGGGAACAACTGAAGGAAACGCAGGCCATCTGCTACCGGGACTCGTCAACTTTAAGGAACACCAGGATTATCTAAAGGGCTTGCTAAGAATGCCGAATGCTGGGAGCCAACTCTTGGAAATTTTCAGAATCAACAGGTCTGTCCTAGCAACAGGGTACAGATGGACAAGGGAGAAAACTCAGTTGGATTCCACTAAAAATCAGGGAGAAGACCCGGATGGAGGCCAGCTCTCTCTTTCTCTCAACTGGCATGAAGACTGGGACGCACAAGGGAAGACAAAAAGCCCCAGTCCCTCCCTGAAAGGAGGAAAAGAAAGGCAGAATGAGCTCTGAAGAAGACCGAAGATGGCAGGGCAGCCTGGGCCATGTCCCATCCATGGTCCGTGCCGCCTCCTACCTGTAGCAGGGCTCCTGGGCAACCACCAAGGCAGGGACCACGGGGCTGCCTCCTGGGTCACAGGCTCATACCCAAAGCCACAGAAGGAATCACTGCCAGCCCGTGTGGCAGCTTCCGGGGCAACACACCACAGAGACTGCCTGACCCTTCATTTCATCAGAAACAGACTCCTTCCCCGGAGGCCTCCATGTAAGCAGACCCCAGTGGTAACTCCGAGTTCAGCCTTCAGACAAAGCCAGCTCTGTTTCCTGCCTCCGGAGGGTGAAGGGGCACACAGGCCAAAGACCCCTTTGCCTTTTCTTTCTCTGAGGCAGTCTGCATGGATGTGAAAACAATCTCATCCTGAAAGAGTTTCCATAGCCTCTCTCAATCTGAAACTTTTATTCTAAAACAAATAAACCAAACACACAGAAAACCCAGTGGCCGTGCTAACCTAGGCTTCTTAACCGCAAAACTAGCCAGCAAAGAACAGCTCACAGGGCACTAAACTCCACACACTTCGGAGGGCGCTGCCAACTTCTACACTTACTCAGATCCCCCCCCAGGCTGAGGCACTGTGTGCTCCAGGTCCCAGTAAAAATGTATTGAACTGTTTAGTGAAATCGCCCATAAACTAGATCCAGGAAAAAGCTGTGCTTTATTTCACCCATTAAATATTAGTCACATTGACCTCTTTTACAATGAGGGCAGGCTGTTATTTCTAATAGTGACAATAGCAATAAAACAAATTCTCAAATTCTCAATTACACAGGGCTAATCATCCTGCTGGTGGGTTAGACTGGCTCCTTCCCTGTCCCCAGCAGACATCTGGGCTTGGGGAGGAGCTCCGGCTAGCGGACAGGGAGGGCCCTAATAAAAGGCGGCTGTGTGGAGAAAGAGGGGGCGGGACTGTGGGCCAGGAGGATGCGATTTCTGTCCCACAGCTAGGCTCCCAGAGCAGGGACAGCTGGCCTGACCACCCTGGCGCCAACTTGGAGCAGACAGCGACCTGGGGAAGTCACCTGTAAACTGTTCCTTCCATCTCCGGGTCCATTCAGTCAAGGGCTCCAAAGGCCTGATTAGCACTTGCTAAGGTGACTGTGGCAGGCCCTAGGAGGCGGTGCTAAAGTGATCCTTGGACTCATGTCCTTGGGAGCAGACATGACATGTGCATCCCCTCACCCCATGAACTCCACTCTGCAGGCCCAGCCCTACCCACCCAGCAGGGAGCAGAAGCTTTGCCTCGTGATCCAGTCCTGCATGTCCCCCTTCTTCACATGTGCCTATGTGAGACCCGCCTTCTCCCCCCGCCCCGGCAGGGAATGCCCTGGAGAGAGCTGGGACCACAGGACAGGCACTGCAGATGCAAGTCACTAATGGCTCCTCTTGGCCTATAATTTGGGGTCTAGAAATCCTCTCGTTCCTCTTCACATAGTGACTATGCCCATCCCCAGCAGGGGAACCCCACAGCCATTTTCAAACAGTGCAATGATCCCAAGTAAACTGGGAAGAAAGGCCTGTGCTGGAGTCTAGAAACATCTACACCCTGCCAGGAAGCTCAGTGTGAAGAACTATCCAAAATGACTGTGTTCAGGCTCAGGAAACATGAAGAGTAGGACGACAACCACCCCATCTTCAGAAAGAGAGATCTTTTATGGCTCTGTGGGTCACTTCTTCCTTTCTTGGAAAACAATTTCATTTATGTCTAGCCACTCTGCATGGTGGGAAGGACCCCAGGTCCCTGAATAGTTCCGCAAAGGCAAGAGTCTCTCCCTTCCCATCCTAAGGCAGACCCTGCATACCAGCCCAAGTCTCCAAAGGCAAACCCTTGCCAGATCAGAGGGACTCAGGGTGCTGATGCACTCTCCTGAGGGATCTGTGCACCAGGCACAGCAGCTCTAGCAAGGCAGTCCTTCTCCTTCTCCGTGCTAGCATGTGCCTCACTTCTCAGTGGATCCCATCAGACTTGGCACTGGATCACTCAGATACAGTGTCGTGACCACTTCTCCCAGCCACGGCCTTGGCACAGAGCTTTCCTGGCAATGTTCTGAGGAGACTCCTGGGAAAGGGACCAAAGCGCCCTCCGTTCCTTATCTCCCTTCCTCCTTCCTTCCCTCCCTCGTCTTCCTCTCTCCCTTCCACAAATGTTGACTCAATACCTGTGATATACCAGACACAGTGGTTTTTAACTAGGCCTGTGCACGGACTCACATGGGAAGCATTTGCTTGTCTTGCTCCCTTTTGATGTGGAAATTTCCGCACACCATCCTAGGTAGACAATGGTATCCTGAACCTCACATGCCCATCATCCAGCTGAGCCAGTCTCATCCCATCACTCTACCCACTGTCCATTCCCTAGCCTGGCTGGATCATGCAGAATCCACACACAAGTATCATGTCGTTTCCTTTTTTATCCAAGAAGAAAAGCATTTGTTTCTTCTTTTGCAACATAACCACGGTACCCTCACACTTAAATTAGTGACTGCATATATTTACTCATTGATACAGTTTGGATATTTGGCCCTCTAAATCTCATGTAGAATGTGATCTCCAGTGATGGAGATGAGGCCTAATGGGAGGTGTTTGGTCATAGGGGCAGACCCTCATGAATGAATGGATGAAAGAGTACCATGCCTGCAGTAATGAGTGAGTTCTTGCTCTGTCTGTGCCCACAAGAGTTGGTTGTTAAAAAGGTCTGGCACCTTCCCCCTCTCTCTGCTTCCTCCCTCACTGTGTGATCTCTGCACCTACTGTCTCCCCTTCCCCCTCCTCCACGAGTGGAAGCAGCCTGAGGCCTCACCGAAAGCATTGCCATTAATCCATTGCCATGGCTATGCTTCTTCTACAGCCTGCAGAACCATGAGCCAAATAAACCTCTTTTCCTTATAAGTTATCAGGTCTCAGGTATCCCTTCATAGCAATGCAAACGGATTAATACAATCATGTTAAGGAATTCTTGTTACTGTCCCAGTTTCCCTTGATCGGGAATGTGCCTTTCCTTCTCTTGGGCACATATAGCACCTCCAGGCCCAGGACACAGACTCAATGGGTCTGGGTGGGGTAAGGCTTGAGATTCTGTATTTTTCTAAATTCCCAGGACTCTCAGGACCAGGTCAGCATGGAGACCACTGCTTTAATGGAGTCCACATCAAATGACATATGTGAGTGGCTGACTTCTTGGGGTTCAGATAGGACTGCTAAGCCTCATCCAGCTGCTGGAAGTGGGAGACAAACTAGGAAAGAGAGCAGGTACTCAAGAAGGCAGCAGGCTGACTCACGCAGCACCAGAGGCCCTGTGGTCCCAGGGCCAGCCTTAAAGGGTACAGCTTTCTTTTTCCTGAAGCCATGACACCCAAGACAGGGCTCTAGGTTAACAATGGAGGGACATGCCCTGCAAAGAACCTGGCAGTGTCATCCACTCTCCTCGCCCATCAGTCAGTCATGGTCAAGGCCAGGAAGGCTTGTATGGAACGATGGCTCAGGCACTTTCCAGCCCAGCAGCCACATCTCAAGACTGATGCTCCTCTTGCTAACAACAGGTCTATGTCCCACTGCACTTGGCTGCTCCTGGCTCCTCCCAAGCTTGCTGTGCATGGATTAAAGGGTCCAGGAGGCTGAGGGAAAGGAAGCATGGTGTTTGGGACAAGAAGGAAGAGAACAACTGCCAAGCGTTTCTGACATGACTTCAGGGTATGGGATACTCAAGGAGAAATACAACCTCAGATGGTCAAATAGCTCATTCCCAATCAGGACCCTCCCAGAATAAAGGGTATGAAGAGCCACACTTTTCCAAACATGTCAGAAGCATCTGCTATACAAAATGACTGTCTCAGCTGGGCTCGGTGGCTCAGCCTGTAATCCCGCGCCTTTGGGAGGCTGAGATGAGTGGACTGCCTGAGCCCGCGGGTTAGAGACCTGCCTGGGCAGCGAGACCTCATCTCTACAATAAATCAAAAAATCAGACGGGCGTGGTAGCGCATGCCTGTAATTCCAGCTACTTGGAAGGCTGAGGCAGAAGGATCACCGGAGCCCAGCAGGTCAAGGCTGCGGTGGCCAGGAGCGGCCACTGCACTCCAGTCTGGGTGACTGGGTGAGATCCCAACTCAAAAAAAAAAAAAAATGACTGTCTCCATTTGAGATTAGAATTAACAACAAAATTACTGATAGGAGCCTCAAAACGATCAAGTTACTCAGCTTTACACAATTCCTGTAACTTTTAGAAATGAAGAAAATCTTATTGGCAAAGGTCAATAAAAAACCTTAGCTGCTTTCATATCAGTAGTGAATTAAGCTGGAGTGAAGCTCCACCAGGCCACCAATCACCTGGTCTTCAGTTCAAGGAACCCAACACCTAGACCAGTGAGGAGCCCCCTGACTAGTGAGGAACTAGGTGTCCTCCACTCCCTTCCTCAGACTCTTCTCCCCAAACAAAAGAGGTTCTGCATGGAACCAGCTCTCCCAGGCCAAGGCCAGGAACAGAGATGGGTGGGGGAGAGGGAGACAGCTCCACCCCACGAGATACTCACAGCTTGCTGAGGTTGTCCAGCCCCGAGAAGGCACCACTCGTGTCCTCTATTGTGCCTGAAATCTCGTTATGGTCCAGATCCCTGGGGAGAGGACAGAAAGCACCGTCCAGCCTGAGTATAAAGGGAATAACGGGTTTCCAAACAGCCTGCCACTTGAAAGGTGAAATCACCTAGCGCACCCTGGAGACCCAGGCGTGATATATGGTTAAAAAACATGGCCTGAGGAGGGAGTCGTGTTTTGCATACCTCACAGGGCGGCCTGGCTTTCTCAGCCCTCTAGCCAAGCTGAAGCATACCTCAAACATTAAGTGTCTCTGGGCTCCATCTGCTGTTCCCTGTCGGCAAAGGCCGAGCTCTGGAGAAGGGAGACAGTGTGGACAGCCTGGTTTGCATTCCGCCCCCAGAGAGTGGATATCTGGCCCCTGGCACTGAGGATCAGCCCAAAACGTTCCTGAAGCTTTTTGTCTGCTCTCACACCAATCAGAATCTCCTTTTTAGACCTGATGAAGAGCACATGGAGGAAAGGGATGCTGAAGAGAGGCCCAGCACAGGGCTCTCCCTAGGGTCCCTCCACAGGGGCCGGTGGGTCTGGAGCCCAGAGCCCATCTCCTTCCAAGGCCTGCACAGTGTGAACTCTTAGCCAGGGAGGACATCTGGGTGCTGAGTCAGACTGGTGACCCACTCGCCAGGATCGAAGGATGAGGCCAACTCTTCAGCCCAGGCCCCTCCAACAATGTGAATCCCATGGCCGATGAGTCAGCCAACCTCTCAGCTTCCAAGGTCACAGTGCCCAGGCGAGACATCATACCTGGTGACCAGGCCCCCACTCTGCATACATCCCACCCTCTCCAACTTTCCAGAAGGTTCTTGGCTCCTCAGCTTTCCCCTCCTGAGTCTCTGCAGCTACGAGCCAGGAACAGAAAGGGATGCTGCTCTTGGCTTCTGTAAGAACCTTCAGAAAGACTGCCAGTAGGGAGGAGAGTTCTCACTGAAGAGTAGAATGCTTGTTGTGACCTTAATTTTACAGCAGGAAGCTCAAAGAGCTGAAGACTGCTGCTGGAAGGGACCTCTCCTTTCAATGGATCCCTCCCTATTATCTTCATACTGAAAAAACCAGGGACCCGGAGCTGTGGCTTTGTGTGCCTGTCTCCCTGCTCCCAGCCCTGGCTGCCAAAGTCTTTCTCTTCTTTCTGGCCCACTCAGTCTGAATGTCCCTGGCCTTGTTATTCAGGCCTCACAAGGGCTCCAGGCTGACCTCGCCTTGAATGGCTTGGCTCAGGCTCTTTCACACTCCCCAACAATGGCTCCACATTAAAGCTGACTCTGCCAGGTGCAAGTGCAAAGGCCTCCCTCCCACCCACACCAGGCCAGAACCCCTCTCTGTGGGGCTCATGCCTGGGAAGGAAGTCTCAGCACCCACTACTGTCTGTGGAAAGTTGTATGCCCCTCTTTGGGGGCTTTATGCTGACAGTTACTTGCAAGTTCCAAGAACGAACAATGGAAAAGTTTCACAAAAGTCCCAGAAAAGCATCCTGCAGCCATTTCTGGCAACCTCACCTAATTAGGGATTTGGAGGGAAGTGGTATTATCACCTCCACTCTGTAAATGGCCCCCTGAAGAGGTGGGATTCCCTAAGTGCCGCTCTTGGAAGTGAGGCATCCTGGATGCTGAAGTTCAAATGCAGGGCCCAGAGATGAACTGCAGCATTCCCTTGGCTTAGAGGAACACTCAGGATTGAAAAACAGGAGTCACCACTGGAAGTCTCGAGGCTGGAAAGCCTGCGCCCATGGCTGCTGTCCTGAGGTTGCTCTGGGTCAGCGTGGAGAGGCCTTCCAGCAAGCGCACCCCAGTGTCCTGCCCAGCACAGCAAGGAAATTACCACTTGAGAACAGCTATTTTTAAAGGGTTGTCATCCCTCTACGGGCAGCATCCTAGGGAACGAGAGATCTTTCTACTAAACCAGTAATTTTCCCACTGATTTACATATAAAAGTCAGAAACTTTGCACACAGACCAAGTCAGTTTTGGATCGGAGGCTGCCTCGAAACCAGTGAGAAGAGCACCCACCAAAGCAGCTGGTTTGCTTTATTCTGCTCTCCCTGTGGGGAACCCTTTGTTCTGCCAACAGTGAAAGACCTACAAGACTCGCAAGTTCTTGAGTCCCTTGAAGGCGCCTTCCGCAATGTGGCTGATGGAATTGTGGCTGAGGCGCAGGATGCTTAGGCTGCTCAGCTCGGCCAGGCTCTCCTCGTCCAGTCGTGTGAGGTTGTTGAAGGACAGGACCCTGAGGAAGGGGAGGAGCAACATTACTGCCAGGCCACACGCACCCTCTCCTGAACATCAAGCCACAGCTGGCTGGCTCTCAGTGGGAAGAGACCACACACACACACACACACACACACACACACACACACTCACATAGGCACACCCACAGGAATTCCAAGGGCAAGAGTAGCCATGCCACTAGAAACCCATCAGGGCCCAACATCATCAAGCCCAACTCCTAAAGGGACACCAGGTCATCATGGACACCAGGGTGTCTGTTAAACTGTGAGGACTACACACAAGGTCATGCAACACAAGGACCCTCAAGCCCCAACCACTTCACGCTGGTGTCCAAGGCTGCTCCTGATTCAGGTTACAAAAGACCTCTCCCTGCAGAGGGCTGAGACTTTAGGCAGGACTGCAGCAGGCTCTGACAGTGAGCAAGAGAGCACCAGGTAGACTCCCTGCGTCGGCCAGCAGAGGGCACCACCAGCCACTGCCTTGGACAACCACACCAGCGCCTCACACTTGAGTTGGGCAATACCCATGGGTGGGAGGCTCCTGTTCAGCCCTCCCTGCCCTCTTCTACTGGACCTCTGAGCATGACCCCCTACTGTGAGCAGTAAAACCGGACACTCTGCCTGATTGTCAGAATCAAACCTTCCTCCCAGCAGTCCTGCACTCCTGCAGGACATAGCCCTGGCTTGGATACGTGACATACTGGTCATCTACTGCTGCAAAATGAGAGATTTGGGCTGGAGCAGGAGAAAGGAAAATAAATTCAGAGGAGATTAATGAGTTTTTAAAGGTGACAGGGAATGACATTCTTTCCCTTCTGGACAAATAAGTCATGGTGTCTGTCAGTTGCAAAGACCTGGCAGGAGATCAAAATTATATCCCCACCTGCAATTCAAGAATTTAGCTTCAAGGAGGGGCAGGCAACACACGCTGGAAATAATCTTTAATCTGTATCTGAGGTTCCCTAGATACACGGCAAACCACGAGCACTGGTCAGGCACACTTCCATGACCTCTTCTGCCCCTTCTAAAGGGCACAGAAGATAGGTTCATGTCGTCCACCAGCCAGGATGGAATCCCCAGGGGACTCGAAGGCCTGCCTCAGGCCTCGGCACCCTCTGGGAGTAGCAGAGGACTGCTCCTCACCTTAGGAACTGAACTGGCTCAGGCTTGGGGGACTCTTGCTTCCCCAGTTCCAAGCCCTGGCTGACAAAACCAGGGATCCCTGGAGTTCCCTACTGGGGTCACAGCTTGAGTACAGAGCTTGTCAGATGCCAGCCAAACCACATGGAATGTGCAACTGCAGTGACTCAAAGCATCAGGAAGCTGAACCCAAAGGGTTAACACTAGCACACATACTCACAAAACCCAAGGACAGAGAGCACAAGGAGAGGGGCAGAACCACTGCGTTTTGCATTAGCTAATGATGGGGTCACCAAAATATAAACTCCAAGTCAATGGGCTGTGTATGTCTGTGCGAGTGTAAGAGTGAGCGGGGGAGAGAGAAAGAGAGGGAGGGCGGGAGAGACGGAGAGACAGAGAAAAGGAGAAGCCAAGAGAGAGAAGGAGAACACAGAAGACCAGATAAAAACACCAGCTGCAAGAATCAACGTTAGGTTCAAACACCCCCTTGAGTTTGCCTGGCAAGGTCTTTCACATCAGTGGGTGAACCTTTTTCCTATAGCCAAACCTAGAAAAAGAAGAAAAAAAAAAGCCCCACCCAAGCTTTACTGAAAAATAAAGAAACCTACTGGCCTAAACTTGAGCAACAAACACAGTAAAAACCTGTATTTCTGAAATATGTTCCCTGAGTCCTTAGTGATGCTGTGTTCACAGTTGATGGCCTTACCCTGACATGAAGGGATGGCCAGGGCCATCCTCTCCCTGCCCAGGAGAGAGACTGCCACTGTTGATCTCAGAACTTCAGACAGACAAGCTCAGGAGCTCTCAGGCCCAACTGGGAGCCCCATCTGGAAATCTCCAAAAGGCAAGGGGGAAACATACGTCTCTGAACCAAGTATAAGCATACATGACTACATGGGAGCCGTTGCGACTCCCCCTGCAATGCAAAATGGGGGAAGGGAAGCAGGCAAGAGTCGAGACAACTTGACTACAGAAAGGAAGGTAGAAACTCTGAGGACAATAGATTCTTCCACGGTCAGTGTGTCACCGCCATCTCTCTGTTTCACTAATTTTCTCAAAGTCACCTTTCTGTATTTGAGTCCAAGTAGCCCTCTTCACTGAAGAAGTGCATGCTATTTGGTGTGGCCATTAACACACTGTCCTCAAAACAGCTGCCGAGGGAGCACTTCCACAGGCTCCCCTTCCTAAAGAGAGCCCTCTACCTCAGAAACTTTCTCCAAACCCCAGAAGGCCTTGAGGGCAAGGCTCCCTGCAGAATACTATACCTGTAGCCCCTGCTAAGGGGAGATCAGGAAAGGACTGAAATCACTAGGTGCTCTGCTTTGGGCCCGCTGGCATGGGGATCTGTCTTGCCTCCAAGACAGGTCTGCTGGCCTGTCTGCCTCTGAGCACCCTCCCTGCAAGAACCCTCCGCATGCCCACTGTGCTGTGGAATGAGCCAGGCCTAGGGCTTCCTGTCACAGCCCAAAGCCGAGGACACTTACAACTCATGCAGCTTCTGGCAGAAGCTCCAGCCGTCGCGCTGGATGCGGGCGATGGAGTTGTTGCTGAGGTGGAGCTGGTGCAGCGCTGTGAGGCCGTAGAGTGAGCCGCTGTTCACTTCCACCAGGCTGTTGTACTCCAAGTGCCTGCAATGACAGTCCCACGCATAGTGAAGAGGGGACTCCACTCATTCACTGAACAGGCTGCAAGAAAGTAGCCATTCTGTACGAGACACTGTGGTCGCAGCAAGGATGTAACAGTGCACGAGAGAACTATGGAGTGTGTATGGGGGGGTAGGGGGTGCAGGGGCTGGGAGAAGACAGGCTGATTATAACGTGGCAGTAAGTGCCAAGGCAGACTGAGAACGTTTAGAGGGCAAGGAAAGTTTTAGCTGAGTAAAAACCAGGCAAACAAATGGGCAGAGGTGTTCCCAGCAAGGGCGAGGGCCATTAAAGGAATAGAACGGAGAGAGAATAGGGGGTGACTCGTATTATCATCCATATCTCACAGGTTAGGAATCCACAGGTGAGTTAAGTTAGGTAACTTGTCTAAGACTTCACAACTTAGGTAGGGACGGTGCCAAAATCAATTCACATCTGGGCCTGGCTACCAAAGACAGGAGACTCCTTTTTTTTTTTTTTGAGTTGGAGTCTCACTCTGTCACCCAGACTGGAGTACAGTGGCCGCTCCCAGCCACCACAGCCTCAACCTGCTGGGCTCCGGCAATCCTTCTGCCTCAGCCTTCCAAGCAGCTGAAACTACAGGTGTGTGCTACCACATCTGGCTAATTTTTTTTTATTTATTGTAGAGATGAGGTCTTGCCAAGTTGCCCAGGCAGGCTCAAATCTGTGGTCTCAGGCAATCCACTCACCTCGGCCTCCCAAGGCATGGGATTACAGGCTGAGCCACCAAGCCCAGCTTAGACAGGGCTCTTGACCACTATGCTAAGAGACCTGTCTTTAGCTCTGGGGTCAGATAACTTGGATTTTTTTTGGGGGGGCGGTTTGAAGTTGGAGTCTCACTCTGTCACCCAGGCTGGAGTGCAGTGGTACACTCACGGCCACCCCAGCATCAACCTGCTGGGCTCCGGTGATCCTTCCACCTCAGCCTTCCACGTAGCCAGAACTACAGGCATGTGCTACCATGCCTGGCTAATTTTTTATTTATTATAGAGACGAGGTCTTGCCAAGTTGCCCGGGCTGGTCTTGAACCCACAGGCTCAGGCAATCCACTTGCCTCAGCCTCCCAAAGTGCTGGGATTACAGGCTGAGCCACCAAGCCCGGCCACAACCTGGATTTAAATCCTAACTTTGCCACTTTGCTGGCTGAATAAACCCACACATCTGCAAAGTGGAGATGTCAAGAGCACCAACTTCATAGGGCCCTGATGAGAAGGAAATACGGAAGTACACGGCAGGATCTTAGCACAGTACTAAGGACTCGGCTTTCAAGTTCATTACATAAGTATGCTGTTATTTGCTTCCCCACACAGCACATGCTAGCCAAGGATAGCTTGAGCTCTGGCCTCGTTAACAAAAGTCACTAATTCAAGTTTTGTTCTATGTACAATATTACAAGGGCTTCAAGCAACCAAGTTTTGGTTTCTTCCATCTTATTTTTTGCCACTGTTCAAAAAGTAAGCACTTCATGTATAAATAATCTCTAAGGCAACTAATCTCTCCCAATTTGTATAAATTTGTTCAACATAAAAACCAAATGATAGGTGCTAATTTCATTTTCTTCCAAGATTTCTTTTGATTTTAGTTCACGTAACACTGCAAAGTTCAGAATGACAGTTTTAAGGATGTTAAGTAGAAGTGTTTTTGAATATGTAAAAAGAGAGGTCCAGTTAACTAAGGGTAGACAGTGAGGAGAGTGAGATGCCCAGCAGGGGCTAACCTCCTCACTGCTCATGGTGTGGGGAAGGGGTGGCCATCAAGTGATGCTCTGGGAGTGAGCACAGCACAGCTCACAGATAGACTGGACGTAGGTGGTTTCTGTTCCCAAGAAAATGAAGAAAGGTAGAAAAGTCATAATCTAATCTGCACCGACTAGAAGGGAGAACAGGCTACTATGAGCAAGTAAATCACCTATTCTAAAGCAGGAACTCTCCAGTGGACAAGTAAAGACAGTGGTATAAGTATGTTAACTTGGCAGTAACCACCAGCAAGATGAAAAACAGAAAACCAAAAAGAGAAACACTTAGGACTGACTGCCTCTTGGGAGAAGAGCCGGGGTTAAGAGGGTAGGGGCTGGTGGGGGCAGTAACTGTTTCTCCTTACTATCTGATTTTATTGAACTATGCAAATTATTTTTGATTAAAAATAAACACATTTTAATGTTTAAAAAGAAAAGATCAGTCATTGCTTTTTCTGTATGCTTCTTTGTTGTTGTTTTACATTACTCCAGCAGGCCAGCACGTCCTGCTTTGTACACATCTGGCTGAAGAGAATGCTCCCTTGATAAAAGTCAACATCTGCACCCAGTGTCTTGATTAGCTCACAAGACAGAAATAAATCTCTTTGGATGAGCTATGCATTTCTGGCCCACCTGCACATCAAGAAAGACTGTCAAATCCAGAGTGGGGAGAGAAGGAACTTCCTGCAGTGTATGGGAGTGGAGAGGACATGAGGAAGGGTCTGTTCTGCGGCCCCATGTTCCTGCATTCACTGAGGAGCAGGGGTGGGGGTGGGGTGGTAGATGTGGGTCGGAGATGGAGGGCTGGGAACCGGCCAATCAAAATGGCTCCCTCCTCCGTCTCCATCAACCAGCAGACCTGACTCAATCCACTGAACCTCCCCCAGGAGGTTTTCCTGATCTGCTAGGGACACACCTTCAGGTTTGGCCCAGTTCCCAAAGACACTGAGTTGGGATCAGCTAAAGTTTCAGAAGGCAGGGGCCTGGGTCCAGCTGAAGTCTCAAAGGATCTTTCAGGAGAGGGTGTTGGTCCTGGTGCCCTGCTCCAGGCCCAGTGCTCAGCTGAATGAAAACACACACACAAACACACACACACGTGTACTGCAAACAGATCACACACACTGGTCCTCAGCAAGCCAGGGCTCCGAAGTCCACACTTACAGCACATGCATCTTGGACAGTCCCCAGAAGGCCCCGTCTGTTAGTTTGCTGATGTTGTTTCGCTGTAGCTTCAGCACCTCCAAGCTGTCGAGCCCCTGGAATGTGAGGCCCTCTATCAGCCGAATCCTATTCCGATTGAGGTCCCTAAAGAGATGAAGCCAGCGGTGTCAGAGCATCCCCTGTGCATACCCCACCTCCAACCCTTCCCAGGCAGTCTCAGCTTCTTGTCCAAGCCAGGAGTGAACCTAGTGAAGGAGGCTCTGGGAGGCAGGATGTGCAGTGGAAACACCGGGTGTCTTGCCCGCCATGCAGGCACAGATGAAGCCACCTGGCCATAGCTAATGCATGAAAGAGGGGTAAGGTGGAGCGCCTCTCAGCTGACCCCAAAGCTGGGTCCGGGGCTACTGGGACACAGTGTGTATTTCTCCTCCAGCAGCCCAGGTGCCATTCATGACTACAACAAGGACATGGGCATGACTCAGAAGGGGAACTGAGCTCAGCAACAGAAATCTACACCAGATACCACAACCCAGGAAAAACCTTAACCACTGGACATTACACTTTCCACTGGGTGTACATCATAGGATCTCTACATATGGAGAGAAGTCACTGTCTGGGGGGGAGAAGCAGATAGAGGAAAGATACCCCACAAAGCACACATATTTGGCTTTTAGCCCCAGCATGATAAAGCCTCAGTCAACCGAAAGATGTCAGGAATCTTGGTGGGCTGGATCCATTAGCAACCCTGGGGAAGAGGAGGGAGAACACAGGGCTAACCAGAAAGCCCTTGGTTTTCCCCAAATATTTCTGCAGTGTCTCATGACCCTGCCCCACACACAACCTAGTCAGCATCACTGAGACCTTCTCCTCAGACTAAGCAGAGCCCAGGCCTCACCACCCAGGGAGGCAAAGCACAGGAGAGCAAGAGTCAGGGTACACCTGTGTCTTGCTGCCCACCCAACCCTCAATGACCATTTTGTTCTGCTTCAACCAAATTTCCAGTATTGGCTTATTTTCCTGAAATATATCCTTCCACTAAAAAGAAGACACAGAAAAACAAAAAAAAAGAAGAGAAAAAAAGAGTCCTTCATCAGGCAATGATTAATTGCCCTTTTCTTGAATCCAAAACCCTGTGCCTTCTTTGTGGGCACTCAGCCTTGATCATCAAAAAATTAAACAAATAAAATTGGACCACCTGAGACCCAATCCCTGCCACTACGTAATATTCCGATTGAGGTCCCTAAAGAGACAAAGCCAGCGGGGTCAAAGCATCCCCTGTGTATACCCCACCTCCAACCATTCCCAGGCAGTTCCAGCTTCTTGTAATGAATATGCATGTGCACTCCTGAATCTGAAATATTAAAAATGGTAATAATAAAAAAAACCTTAAAAAATAACAAAGCAGCTCTTTATATGATTTTAGAGGCAAAGATGAAGACCTGCCTCTTGTTTAGTATCTCTGGCTACACTAACTTCCTCTCAAACAGCTCGAGAAGTGTCAGACCGTACCGTGTCCAAGATACAGATTTTACGGGTACCTTTAAAAATACACTAAAACCTCTAAGATAAAGAAGAAACCAAACCCATGCAGCCTAAGCATTAGCCACCATCCACTAACCAGCAGAATCTCTGATTTCATTTTGGAAAACGTCAAAGAAGACAAGCATATATAAACTCAGTGGATCTTTTTCTCAGCCATCTGAGGCAGCACTGGCACCAGATCTAGCTCCCAAAGTGCATTTACTAGGCGCTGCCATAGAGCCATTTAATGGTCGTTCGTGCAGAGACATACCTAGGAGGAGGGGGAAGAAGTCGTATATGGTACGAGGTCCTTGGGGAAATCTGGCCTCCATAAAGTTTGGCTAGCCTTAATTAAAGTGCAGGTTTCTATACTCACAGTTGTGTCAGCCTGGGTAACTTGAATGCTTTCACAGGAAGCTGTGTGATCCTGTTTTTGCTCAGGCGAAGAGTTAGCAGCGACCGTGACAGACCATCAAATGCTCCCGACTCCAGGGTGCCAATCCGGTTGCTTGCCAGGTTGCTGGAATATGCAGGAAAGAAAATGTAGTGGTCGGTAGGAGGCCTTCCTCACTTTGTTACAGACACCAGACCCGGCTGGGTCTGAATTGGGAAAACAAGATAAGACACACCCAGAGGGACAGGTTTCCAATGCAATGTTTATGATCACCCGGCGGCGGAGCCTGTCTTGACTCCCAGATGGGGGGCCAGAGAGATGCAGGTGTCAGGACTGTGCAACTAGAATCTGGAGGCAAGCATTGCTTCAGCCAGAACACATGGTGCTTGGGCTGGTGAGCCAGCCCAGCGGTGGGAAAGTCAAACACCTCCAAGTCTGACCACCCTGACGCACCAGCCCTGCCTGAGGAGTCACCGCAGGGCCTTCCTCACCACCCGCTGCCCAAGGGCGATCACAAAAGCCGGGAGAAGCAGAAAGGCAAATGAGAGGCAAGGCCTGATGATTTAATAATCTGAAGAAACAGCCTTTATTTTTGAAGTGGCTCTCACTGTATGAATTGCATAATCTGTGTAAACCAACTTATTTTACTAATTTTAAATGCCTCAAAAAAACCACTCTTGTTACAGAGACCTGCACTGAGTCCCATTAGAAAACAAGCCGCACTTTATGGTGTCTGTGCTTACAGGGTGAGGATATCAGGGCACCTCCCATGACTACAGAAAAGGCAGATGCCGTTTCTCAAAATGCACTGAAGCGTACATCCAGATCTGTGCACCTCACTGTATATACATTACAGCAAGTAATAAAAAAAGAGGAAAAAAAGAAAAAGGAGGTACAATATAGCATTCCTGTGAGAAGCTGCCCCTTTCTGCTTTCCCCAGACAAACGCTGCTTTGTCTTGACCTAAAGTGAAAAGGAGAAAGACCAGAGAGGATTTTCTACACAGAGAGCAGAGGGGAACAAGGCACTTTTCGTCTCTCTATCAGGCAGGGGCCCAGGACAGGGCACATGAGGATTCTTTGCAAATAGGGCTGGACTGTTTGTTCTCAACACTCTAGATTAAAGAACAGACTGTGTGATGAAGATATACCGGCCAACAGCTGCCAAAATAGAGAGTCCCTCCCGCTTTCATGCGGGGAGAGAAGGCCAGCACAACCCAGCAGAGCAGTTGTGGTTTGTTCAACCCCAGCAAGAAAGTGCCGGTGGCAGCTGGACACCTTTCAAAAGCCCCCATGGGAGGTTTCCCAAATGCCAAGCTCTCCTGTTCCCAACTGGGGCACCTTCATGCAGCCTGAGAAATAAATTGCTCCTCTCCTTGGGTTTTTACTTGGGAAGTCCATGTGCCAAGCCTTATTCTCCCTGAAAAGATGGATCACAATGACCCCTAAACTGGCCTTGCAAATGATTTCCAAAGTTACTCTGGAACCATATGAATACAAGGAATGAAAACTCACCTGTAATTTCAAAATGTCTCTTTAACCTGAGTTTTCTGTTTCTTTCCCAAAGCAACACTTTACTACCCACAAGTAGTGGATTAAGTAGGTTTTAACTTTTCCTTCCTGTCTACCATCGCGTGTGAGATGGGGCATTAGCATGGGTAAAAGAGAAACAAAGAAATCTCAAATGTGCTGAAAGGTCACAGAACAGAGTAACTGCCCTTCCCTCAAATAAGCCCAATGACTTTTTTTTTTTTTTTGAGTCGGAGTCTCACTCTGTTACCCAGGCTAGAGTGCAGTGGCACACTCACAGCCACCACAGCCTCAATCTCCTGGGCTTAGGAGATCCTTCCACCTAAGACTTCCAAGTAGTTGGAACCACAGGTGTGCGCCACCACACCTGGCTAATTTTTTTTATTTATTGTAGAGACAAGGTCTCACCAGGTTGCCTAGGCTGATCTTGAACCCAGGGGCTCAGGCAATCCTCTTGTTTTCACTTCCCACAGTGCTGGGATTACAGGCGTGAGTCATCACGCAGGCCCAGTGACTTGTTTTAGTAGTGCAAGATACTAAAAAAGATAAGCATTGACAAGAGTAAGCCTCATCAAGGAGATCTCCCACCAACCACTCCTGAATCTTTTCTGGAAACTTCCCCAGGAGGCAGCCCAGGAAACAGGAAAGAAAACAGTGGCCTGTATCTGACTCCCAGACTTTCCTCTGCATGGTAAGTCCCCCTAATTAACAGCTCCCTGCCTCAGTTTCCTCATCAGTCTGTAACATCGGAACATGCTGCAGGATTTGGAAATGCTGTTTACGTGGGCCCTGGCCCCTGCCCTGCTGAGGGAAGATCCGTAACATCCCCACTGGCTCAGCTGAGCCACAACTGGGAAGGAAACACCTATTCCGTGTCCAGACCTGGGTACTGTATGTTACATGGCCAGCAGCATAGGACCACCACAGGTAGCAAGAAGAAGGCACTTACAGCTCCTTTATAGGCAGTCCATGTGGAAAGCAGGTGCTCCGGACTTCCGTGATGTTGTTTGAACTCAGATCCAACACTTCCAAGGAATGGTAGGCCTTCAGCTGACTTCCCTCCACGTTGCGGATCTTATTGTGTTGCCTAAAACACACCAAGGCAGGTGACCAGATCATTGCTTTTTGCAAAGGAACTCCAAGAAACTATTATTTTCCCCCCACCTGCCACTTCTTTTGGACGATGTTTTTCTAGTTGTTTTGCTCTTTCATAAAACTACAAATACAGTGATGCTCTTAAAATGAGAACTTCAGGTCAGGCGCAGTGGCTCAAGCCTATAATCCCAGCACTTTGGGAGGCCGAGGTGAGAGGATTGCCTGAGCCCACAGGTTCAAGACCAGTCTGGACAACTTGGCAAGACCTCATCTCTACCACAAATTTTAAAAAATTAGCCTGGTAGGGTAGCGCACACCTGTGGTTCCAGCTACTTGGAAGGTTGAGGTGGAAGGATCACCTGAGCCCAACAGGTCGAGGCTGTGGCCATAAGTGTGGCACTGTACTCCAGCCTGAGCAATAGAGTGAGACTCCTACTCAAAAAATAAAACAAAAAACAATAAAATAAAATGAGAGTTCCTGTTTCTCTCTCCGTCACTATTATCTGCTGGCTGGATGCTAGCTGGAATGATGGATTTTCTGTCTGGGACAAGCTTGTCAAAGTTCTATGCCTAGGCTGCTCTTCCCAAGGGCAAGAATGTAGCAGTGACATTTAAGACCATATGAGACCAGCATGATGTGACCAGAACCCATGATGCACTCACCGTAAGTTGTGCCTGGTGCAGCCAGACAGCTCCACCCCAACCCTCACGCATATCTTCAGAACCCAGTGCAACCCTGGGACTTACAAAAGTGTACAGGCCCAGAGCCCAGAGTTCACTTTAATCCAACTTCACACATCATGACATACCTTTTACCAACACCTACCATGTACCAGGCAAGATGACAATCTAAAAATGGAAAGAGAGCTGGGCTGGATGGCTCAGCCTGTAATCCCATGCCTTTGGGAGGCTGAGGTGAATGGATTGCCTAAGCCCGCGAGTTTGTGACCCGTCTCGGCAGCGAGACCTCATCTCTACAATAAATCAAAAAATCAGCCAGGCGTGGTAGTGCGCGCCTGTAATTCTGGCTACTTAGAAGACTGAGGTGGAAGGATCGCCGGAGCCCAGCAGGTCGAGGCTGTGGTGGCCGGGAGCGGCCACTGCTCTCCAGTCTGGGCGACAGAGTGAGACTTCAACTCAAAAAAAAAAAAAAAAAAAAAAATGGAAAGAGGAGCTCACTGCTGGGTATAACTAGAATAGAGTCCCCTGAATCTTCTGACTTTACTCTTAATAATTTAGTATGTTTTCTCATCAGGAAGATGGGGCCACAACCTGTCACTTCAAGGTTATGGACAATCCAACCTGAAACCACACTAAAGCATCTGGCAGACATTAAGGTAAGCATTTGGAGTGTTTACCACTCCAAGAAAGGCATTTTCCATTGTGACTTATGTGCACCTTTAATCCTCTCTCTGACAAACCCATAATCTAACCAACCAACCAGTAATTATTAATCAGGAGAAAGACAAAAGCTAACCAAGGTTGGTATAGCTGACTGCCCTGTTGTGGGTTTGACTGTGTCTAGCAGATTCAATCCACCACAGCCCTAACTCCAGTATTAGATACTTAAGAATCTGCTGGGTGGTAGCGATGGGCCTCTGGGTTCCAGGCACTCACACTCGGGCCAGTTCTGAGTAAACAGTGTCAGCGTCTCCAACCAATCAAGGCATTCTTGAACGCAACACAAGTAAGCCAGGCGTCGCTTACCAAGTGGCATCTCCATTAAACAAACACTTGACCAAATCAATTCCAACAGGCATAAACAAGGACCTCTTTCCCAGAAGCTGTGGGGCTTCTCGTGGACTCCTTTGTTTTTTTCACAAGTCTCCCAGGCTCCAAACTCAGAACTTCATTTGCAAGGGCACAACTGCGCACACAGAGAAACCTCCCCAGAAAGAACCCTTTCCCCCCACCGCTCCTCCCCACCCCCCACACTTCCTTTGAGTTATTTACTAAGTTCTTTTATAAAGAGAGTCTCTTCAGTTTTCAGACTCCAAAGGAAAGAGAAAAAAGAAAAGAAAACCTTTATCATGTAAAGCATGGGAAGAAAAAGAACAAGAAATCAAGGCAACGGAGCTGAGCCTTGTCTGGGAACTCTGAATACAGTACCAGGGAGCCAGGAAAAGAGGGTCTGCAAACAGAAGAGATGGGGCGCTGCTGGCCCAAAGAGGGCTCTGGGTGGTGAGTCCTTACGCTGCGAAGCATGGGACAGCTGCGAGCCCTGACACCTCTCCCACGCTGGCTCCCTCCTCTCCCCCCTTGTCTCCTTGGTCTTTGTCCTTGGTCTTATACCTTTTGCTTCTTGTCAATATATTCATTCATTGACTCAAACACAGGCTGGGGCCCGTTCTGAATAAAGGACACTATGCGGAAGGCAAATCTCCTTCACATGCTGGGAAACGTTCACAGCTTGGCAGAAGAGGCAGCCATGGAGATTCAAGACAAGGGCATATGGAAGCTCCAGCAGCAGGGCCTGCGAGAGGAGCAAGGGTAGCATTCACTTCTGCCTGGAGAAGTCACTGGGGCAAGTGTCCAAGGCTAGGATGCTGAGGGGTAGACAGGAGGGGACAGGCCAGGAGCCTGGATCCAGTTGTGGAGCAGGGTGAGAGATGGTGGTGATAGAGGCAGACACAGGAGAGTAATAAGTAAGGAGTCCACAGAAGCTGGAGGTGGCAGCTGGGGGCAGCAGTAATGATCCAACATTTTCTTTCTTTCTTTTTTTTTTTTTTTTGAGTTGGAGTCTCACTCTGTCATCCAGACTGGAGTGCAGTGGCCACTCCGGCCACCGCAGCTTCAACCTGCTTGGCTCCGGCGATCCTCCCGCCTCAGCCTTCCGAGTAGCTGGAACTACAGGCACGCGCTACCACGCCCAGCTAATTTTTTTGATTTACTGTAAAGATGAGGTCTCGGCTGCTCAGGCGGGTCTCGAACCCACAGGCTCAGGCAATCCACTCACCTCAGCCTCCCAAAGGCACGGGATTACAGGCTGAGACACGGAGCCTGGCTTACATTTTCTAGCTTGGAAGATAACCACGCCCCCAGCAACTGGCTATCTGTTCTTGTCCACTTATGGTCTAACCCCAATGCAGCAGCCAGAGAGATCCTTAAAAAAACAAGTTGTTCATGAGTCCCACTGAGTAGGAGAAAACATTTGCAAATCATAAACTGATAAGAGGATAATGTCCAGAGTGTATAAGGAACCCGGACAACTCAAAAACAAACAACCCAATTTTTAAAAGGAGCAAAGAAACTCAATAGACACTTGTCCAAAGAAAACATACAAACAGCAAACCAGACATGAAAAGATGCTCAACATCACTATTCATTAGGGAAATGTAAATCAAAACCACAATGAGAGATCAGCTCACACCCAACAGGATGACTACTATTGAAAACAAAACAAAAACAGAAACAGAAAATAGCAAGTGTGGGTGAGGATGTGGAGAAATGGAAACTCTTATACACTGTTGGTGGGAATGTAAAATGGTGCAACTGCTGAAGAAAATTAAACACAGCATCACAATATGATCTAACAATTCTACTTGTAGGCAATTAAAAGAACTGAAAGCAGATCTGAAGGAGATATTTATACACCCATGGTTCGTAGAAGCATTATTCACAATAGTCACAAGAGGAAGCAACCCGAATGTCCGGTGATAGCTGGATAAACAAAATGTGGTATATGCATACAATGGATATTCATACACTGTTCAGCCTTCTGAAGTAAAGAAACTCTGATACATGTTACTGAACGGATGACCTTTGAGGAAATGACACTAAGTGAAATATGCCAGTCACTGAAAGCCAAATACTGTGTGATTCCACTTACAGAAGGAACCCACAATCAGATCCACTGAAAGAGAAAATGGCCAAGGACTGAAGGTTTGTTATGACTGGGTATGGAGTTTTAGTTGTGCAAGATGGAAAAAGTTCTGGAGATCAGTTGCACAACACGAATGCCCTTAAAACTACTGAACTCTACACTTTAAAAAAGGATTAAGATGGCAAATTTTATGTTACATGCATTTTACTATAATTTACAAATAAAACAAAACACAGGTCAGTTCACAGTACACTTCTATCTAAATCTCAAATGACAACTCTCCTGTCTCACTTGGAAGTAAGGTCCTCACAATGACCCCCCACCCCAAGGCCCACGTAACCTGCCACACACCCACCTCACCTCCTACTACTCCTCCGTCTCATACATTCCACTCCACACCAGCCCACGAATGTGTCTGGCCTCAGGACCTTTGCACTTTCTTTTCCCACTGCTGGAACGCTGTCCCTAGAGACGCCCTTGTCTCAGACCCTTACTTTCTCCCATCTTTATTCAGAAGTCACCTTCTCAGTGAAGCCTTCCCTGGCTACCTTCTCTAAAACCACAAGCTCCTTCACACCCAGAGACACACACAATTTCTACCTCCTTACCTGCTTTATTTTTCTCAATAGTCCTAATCATCTAAAATCCTCAGTATTTGCCTATTTATAGTCTAACATCTTCTCTTTCACCAGGATGTGGTTTCACAAAGGTGAAAATGTTTGCTTCATTTACTATTGTTTCCAGCCACTGGAACAGTGCCGGACATATAATAGGTGCTCAATAAACATCTGCTGATGAGTCATAGAGAATAAATACAGGTTGAATTCAAAAGGGCTGAGGCTAGATACAGATTTCAGACTCTTCAGCAGTTAGGCAGAAGAAAACCATGCAGGTGGATAAGTTTCATCAGGAATGTGAGAAGAGTCTGTAGGTGCCCGCAATAGTGCTGCCCAGACACAAACAACTGAGCCCACAGCAGCTCCAGAGACCCCTGGGGCTCCAACACTGCTGTGCCCAGCTGCTGAGGATGCATATCTTCTCCCCTACCCATCTACCCACTGAATAGTTGGGGCTACAAGTGCGTGCCACTGGGCTTGGCTATGCTCTCTCTCTCCCCCCAGGGTCAGACTCTCTGCTCTAGAATATAGCCCAGGACCTGACGAAACCCA